TTTGTTTTCAAGAGTTCCTACAGAGGCTCAAGTCAGATGTGGATCAGATGTTCTCAGGCTTTCTCCTAAGGTCTGGATCCCTCCGGGAAAGATTTTGGCATCAGAAATTTGGGGGTTGGACTGGTCTGGGAGCAGGGCCCAGGAAAGATGCTGGGACAGCTGGTGGCTGTGCCACCCAGAGGTGAAAAGAGAGATGGGGGTGGGAAGAGGCCCCAAGGGCTCCTGTGGAACTGCACTGAGGAATTGGGTTGGTCTGTATGCAAAGGATCAGGAAGCCGGAAGGTCAGCCCTGGAGTCCAGGAAAGAGGCTGGCAGGTTGTGCAGCCCAAGAAAGCAGAGAGAGGTGAGAGTGGGACCAGACCCCGAGGGCTCCTGGGGACCGCTGAGAAGGAGCTGGATTGGTCTTGATGCAAAGGAGCAGGAAGCAGTGGTGGTTACTCTGGTGTCTTGGGGACACGAGGAGAAGTAATGGGACAGCACCCAGGCTAGGAGGAGATAAGGGTGGGGGAGATGGGATGGTGAATGAGGCTGAGGCAGTCGGGGTGTGGAGGGCAGCATCGACTTACCCAGGAGAAAGGCCAGCGGGTTGTGCAGGCCCAGGGAAGCAGAGGGACATGAGGGCGGATGTTTGAAATTTTGATAGTTTATTTGATAGCCTTACAAGAATTCCTCCTCATGGAGAAATGAAAACAGGTTTGAAGATGTGTTTTTCAGAGTGATGTTCAATACTTAGGGCCTAACTTGATTCCCAGAAACTAGATGCTAAAAGTTAAGAAAGCATATAATTAAAAGTATAATAATTATTATTTTTCTCTTAAAACTCTTTTTTTGCATTTATTTATTGGGGATAGAGTGGGTACACAGTGCTTGAGTGTGGAGGTCAGAGGACCTCCACAAACAGTATTTTGTTCTCACCTTCTACCATGTGTGACCTGGAGATTAAGCTCAGGTCATCAGGCTTGGTAAAGATAGGCACCTTTACCCACTGAACCACTTCAAAGGCCCTTTTTCCCTTAAGAGAAACATACCACCCCCCCCCTTTTATTCCCAACTGATCTTTTATCAGCTCCAGAAAAGTGAGTTTGCCAAAGAACAAACTTTAAAAGGACAAAATTTAAATTATCTTTTTTTTCAGTGATTTTGCTAATGCAAAGAAGAGAATCTAAATAGAAAAGGAATAATCCTTTAATAACAGGAATAATACTTTAATAATGAAAGCAAAAGTGGGCATGATGGTACATGTCTGTAATCCTAGCATTCAAAAGGTGAAAGCAGGAGAGTCACAAGTTCAGAGTCATCCTCAGCAAGTTCAAGGCCACCTTGTATTCAAAACCAAACCAAACCTAATCCAAATCCAAATCCAACCTAGTCCAAAATTCATACCTAACCCCACCAAACCATGAAGGCAACGGTTAGAGTGTACTTGACTCTGTTTGTTTGTTTTGAGATAGAGTCTCATTATATATCCATTATATATCCTCATATATAGACCATGCTGGCCTCTATCTCACAAAGATCGACTTGCCTCTGCCTCCAGATTGCTGGAATTAAAGGTATGCAACACCATGCCTGGCAAGATTGACTCTTGAAGTGAATTTTCTGAATCTGTATTTTGACCATGTGTCAAAAGGTAGAAAGGGTTTGAGAGAGAATCCTATTGTACCCAACAGAGTAATCATGTAACTTCTTTATGTTGCATTTTTTTAACTTGTAAAATGAAAACTGAGAGTTTGAAGCAAAGAACTTGGTGTTTGTAAGCCATATAGGATGTAGTCCTAGTTCTGTTGGATGAATTCTGAAATATCTAAATTACTGGTGGTTTATGTTGGTTCTGTTTGGAGTTGAATTATGGAGACTGATAATCTTATGCCTGTTATTTACCATCTTGCAGACTCAGTTTTTTTATTTATAAAATTAGTATAATACCTATCTCAGTTGTTTCAAAATTTAAAATGGCAAATGTGTTATGTGTGTATATATATATACACATAACACAATAAATATATGCACACAGAGTAGGAGACTAATGCTTGTCATTACTTTCATAATACATTTTCTTTTGCCAGTTACTGGGCAGAGTTCTTCTCTAGTTTTTATTTGTGATATCTTGAAATTTTGAGGATAGCTAGTTTGTCCTATATTCTTTGTCACCTCTCCAAATGACAACTTCTTTTTAAGTCCCTTGCCTTCTTACATCCAATTTGTTCAACCTTTCATCTTCATCTCCACTGACCTACTTCTGATCTCCCTCCCATCACTTTCTAGTTTTAGAAACCTAGAAGCTATACCAGTTTCTTCCTTATTACAGAATTTTTTCTCTCTGTGATGTCACTAAACCTTTGTTTCCCACAATCCTAGTAAGCAAACACATGCTTCTGCATAAAGTCACTTTTTGGTCTCATTTCCTATCCCCTCTCCCCTTCAGATCTTTATGCCATAAATTTCCGTACTGTGTAATTGGAGTGAATAGTATCACTACAATGGTGTTTGATAATTTACTACTACATACATATGTCTTATTCCCAATTATTTTTTGTCAAAATGAAGCCTTTACTGACATACATTAAATAAACATGTATACTTGTATTCATTCAGTTTTGTAAGATATTGATGATTATAAGAAGCACATCCATTTTTATCGACTAGTAAGACAAAATGACCTGTCATTTGAAAGATATCAGTTACACAGTACATTCTGATTTCAGAGGTGTTAAAATGTGAAACATTGAAGCTGATGATTGATATGAGGGTATATTTAATAGATTGTCTTTTTAGTCTTAACTTTCCTGTCAAAGTTTCTGGGCATTCTTGCTTGCTTGATAAAAACTAAAACTTTCTCTTACCTTCACAGTTTCAGTAAACTGTATCTAAGGTACTTTTTTGCTTAGCTTCAGGTATTGTGTAGAGTGAGGCCTTTTCCTTTTTGAATGTACTTTCCAAATGTTCAGTGACTTTATAATTTAATAACTTGTTTAACTCTGCTTCCAAATTACAACGTGACATATGCTTGAGATACAAAACATTTTTTTCTGTTTTCAACAAGGGTGAAACTTCTTAGATTCTTTTTCTACACAGAATTACACATTGACTGTATTTATACTAATTCATGCTTGTATCCATCATGACATAATGGAGCCCCTTGACCTTGTACTGTCATCCTACCTTGCATAATTGTTTTTTTTCATTTTTCATTTTTTTGAAGTGAAAGTTACTTTAGACTTAGTTTCCATTTTATCTTAAGGACTTCATGATAAAAAATCCTTAATTCTCATGTCACTTGTCATCTCCTTTACTTCCATCCCCCACCTCGTCTTCACTTTATCATTATTAGATATAAGTTAAATAGGAATCTTGTTTACTCTGGGAGAATAATTAGGTTGAAGCCAAGTGGAATCATTATCCAGATGTGGTTGTATATTGGAAGGAACTTTAGACCATAAAACCTTCAGTTTTGAAAAGTTATGGTTATTTTTTTAATATTTTATTTATTATTTTTATTTTATGTGTATGAATATGAGTGTATTGCCTGCATGTGAGTGCACCTGTGCCGTGCAGTGCCGCAGAGGTCAGAGGAGGGCTTCGGATTCCCCTGGAACTGGAGTTAAGGACGGTTTACAGCTGCCATGTGGGTGCTGGGAATCGAACCCTGGTCCTCTGCAAGAGCAGTCAGTGCTCCTAACCGCTGAGCCATGTCTCCAGCCCCAAGTTATGGTTATTTTTATTTGAAGGAAGATAATTCTGGGTACACCTGAGAACTACAACTCAAGGTCAACATCAGGTATTTGTTAAAGCTAGATTGTTTCCTCAAGGGTATAGGGTTCATGTCTAGGAAGTCAGGAAAAAAGGATTCCATATTATAAAAGTTCAATTTCTCTGCCAATTAAAATAGTTAAGGAATTAAAGTTGTCTGTAAATTATATAGTATTATAATGCTTTGTCACTTTTACACTTAGTATTTAATGTAATACAATATCAAGGAAATGGTATTTAGCAAATTATCTCTTGTAGATGATAGGAAAACCTAAGATAATTAAAATTATATAATTATTTTATACTTCTTGAATAATAGTTCTTAGATTTTAGGGAGGAGGTGTAAGTTAGTTTTGTGTATACTGTGCCTGAAGCAATGAAATTGTAAGGTGAAAAGCATTATTTAGCTGACAGTTTAAAGGCTGCACTTCGAGATTGGGCCCTATTGCTTTGGGCTGTGTTGGGATCACTGGATGGCAATGGTGGGGACTGTATGGTGGAATGAGCTGTTTACATCATGAGTTGAGAGAGTCTGGGGTCCTCACAATCCCCTAAAGACCTAATAGACTCTACTTAAAGGTTCTGCTGCCTCCCAGTAGTGTTATTCTAGGGACCACCTCTTAACATGTTGACTTTTGGGAACATTCCTTTAAACCATACCAATGTTCTTCTGTGTGTATCTGAACTCTTATGTAAAATTAAGTCATTAAGTTCAGAAGTGATTTGGGGGGACGATGAATGCTTTCAACAGAATCTTAAAGGGCTTATGACTTCAAAGCAGTCAATTCATTTCTGAGAAATTCTAGGTCAGCACTGTCTTTTATCAAGCTTTCATTGTGGCCTTGTAAATAATGGAAACCCTAGAGTATTTTGAGACTCAAAACAAAGAAAATTTGATTTTGAGTTGTTAGTCCTGAAAATGGCAGCACTGTTCAAGTGTTATATTTTCAGAAATATTAAAACTGGGAATTTCACTCTCAAGAAGTAGTGACTAAAACAGTGGGATTGTTTTCATAGACAGGCATTTGAAAAAACGGTGAGTTCATGTGTTTTGGAAAATGTGAAGGATTAAATATAATGCCTCTATTTGGAACTTGAAAATTAACTTTATAGTTATGATTTAAATTATTATCTTAAGGAGAAGAATATATGCTGGAAATAATGTTACTTAGGATTTATATATGAGTGTCAAAATTACTTTTTAATGTTGGTATGAGTAATGAGAAGGCTTGACATCTTTTTTATTACAGTGCATGCAAGATATGGGAAATACTAAAGCAAGACTACTTTATGAAGCCAATCTTCCAGAGAACTTTCGAAGACCACAGACAGATCAGTATCCTTTGAATTTTATATATTGTGTATTTGAAAAGAGTTAACTCACTTTTACCATTAATAATCTGTTAATATTTAAGATGTGAACTTATCACAATATCTTTCATTAAAGATGGACATTACCTGCATAGTGGCGCATATTGTAATCCCAGCAGTACTCAGGAGGTAGAGCAGTAAGATGGTAAGCTCTGTGACAACTTGTAGGTAGGTATGTTATTTAGTAAGCCCTACTTCAACAAAACTTAGAGCTAGAAATGTAGCTCAGTGTTCGAACTGCTTGGCCCTTTGATCTCTAGCACTGATAAGAAAAAGATGGAAGTTGTTTTTCCCTGAGCTGTACTTTACATATAGTTGGGTTTTAGTAGGAATTTAATAATTCATAATACATGAAGCATTTGAAAATTACTACTGTGAATTTTAAATTGTTATAAGTGCTTTTAGGGGGGGGCTTGATTTCTATCTCTTGATAGGACAGAATATGTTGTTTACTATTTTAGACTGTTGGTAGAGATTTCATTTGTGTACATTCTGAGTATCTTAAATTATTTCCATAAGGATATTGTTTGATCATCTTTAAGTAGTAATTATTTTTGTGAAGTAGTTGGCCTTTATGTATTTAAAAAGGAAATTATGTATTTTAATCTAAGTAGTTTATGCTAGTATTTACTACTGTTCAGTCTTTAGCACAGTTTGGATAATTAAGTTTGTTTTATAGATTTGCCTTTTTGAATGGATAGATTGCTTCCCATAGAAATTTTAATCAGGAAGTATTTCACATCTGTTAAAGATAAAATCATTTGTTTCTGTAGGATTTTAGAAACACATTGATGTTTGTGGAAGCAGTGTGTCTGCATTTGCTACTTTATAAATAGGATTATCTAATAAATTGTAGCTATTAGGATTTTGTTCAAAGATAATATGGTTTTGAAATAAAATGTATTTATATAAAAAAAAAGTTCATGTGGCCAGTGTGGAAAAATTATTGTCGTTCACAAAAAGGTAAAGGTCATTATATATTTATTTTCATATTTGGACAGAGACTTTTAAAATTACAATTGGTAAGTTAGTAATTGGCATTTTTATGTTAATGTTCTCCCAACCCCTTTGATAAATTTTGCAGTCTGATACCTGATGTTTTTTGTTACAGAAAGAGCCTAGGGTGGTAGTGGGTGATACTGGGTTTCAGCTCTAAGAATTGTTTGAGCACAGGTATACAGGCATGAGGAACATATGATCTTTTAAGATTGTGCTATGAGGAAATTCCAGTTTGTGAGGCAAATGGAAGAAGCAGCTTGACCACTGTTTTTGGTTTATATTAAAGACTTTCAATATCATGTTGGATATCTTTCATTGTCAAGAGATTGAGGTATTTAAAAACTCATGGAGGGTTTTGAAACAGGAGAAGTATTAGAGCAGCACCTTCTACTGCAAGAGAAAAGGAAGGAAGAGATCCTGAAAGTAGAGCTCGTGTAGGATACTGCAACCCTGAATAGTGGCAAAAATCTTAGTTACACATGGCATTTAGAATGGGTAGGAAGGAACTGGGAATTGTGAGTATAGGAACAGTTAAACTGAGTTTAGATTGGCTTTGACTCTGAAATGTCTCCCAAGTTTCTATCTTGGGTGAGTACAAAACTTAAGGAGAGAAGGGATTTATTACAAATGGAGAATTAAGGTTGAAAAAGATAATGAACCATACTTTATATTTCTGGCAGATTGATGTGTGTTAGACATGTACATGGCATTACTGTTTTTACCTGGATATAGAATCTAGATGCTAGAAGAAAAAGGAAATGGCAGGTTGGAGAGTCAGGGATATGTGAAT